TTCCATTTTTTTCTCACTAGAAAATTGGAACACAGTTCTCTTTCCTTCTCTTCAAGCTATATGTATGCTCTAACGCTGCTACAGGACAAAGTGAACCAATGCACCTCACAAGGGGCCCGCATGACCTAAACTCCGTAGACATTCCTAGCCTCTTTAATTCCACCCGATTGACCTCCTGGGTTTCATAACAAAAGCCGTTTGCTCTTTAGCCTCTTTGCTTTACACATGCTGTTCCCTTTGCTTGGAATACCCCCACTGCTTTGCCCTGTTTAAGTGAGAAGCCCTTGCTAGTTGCTTCTAGCTTTTTCCTCTGAAAACATTGTGATTGCCGATTTCTCTTTTTCCCCATCAGTCTGTAGCTCCTTAAAGGAAGAGGCTATCTTATTCACCAATTACTTCTGTACCTATTATAGGCTCTTAGTAGTTAATAGAAATATTTAATGATTTCAGATTCCTGTATAGTTTGGTTCCATAATCCACTGTATGCCTAGCTGGCCAGGCATCAGACCGTTAGAAACATGGACAGTGGGAGTGAAAGTGAGACCTTAGGCTGAGACTTCGGGATTCCTAGTCCATCAGAGAATGGCAAATTCCCCAAGTCACGGTAAAGGGTAATTTAGAGGGAAGTTACTTTTTTTTTTTTTTTTAGCTGCGTCGCTACACTTGACTTTATGGTTAAGTGAGGCCGGGAGTCCCCTACGCAGCGGCCGGGGCTGCCGGGTAGCTGTAGCTATAGTCAGGTCATGTGACTTTCAATATGGCTACCACCTTGACTCAGTCCAGGGAGGGGCGGAGTTTGGGGCGGGGCCTGCTCAGACACAGGTTGAAGTTGGATTGGGTCGAAGTTACAGACATCTTACCATGGAGGCGAACGGGCTCGGGTGAGTTCTCTGCATCATGCGCGGTCCGGCCATCGAGGCATCTGACTTGGGTCTTCCACCTGAGGGATCTGTCCCTCTACCCCCTTCCCTGGACAGTCCTGGGAATCAGTGTCCGCGGTCAACCTCAACCAGAGTCCGGAATCCCAAAAATCCTCCAACCATGGATTCCTGAGACCATCCCAGCATCCGCCTAGCCGGGACTGCGACCCCCAGACCTTCATTTAGGGGATACTCCTAGGACTTTCTAATCCTCAGTTAGGACCCCTATTGCTGGACCATCAACTCTGAGCCCTCCTTGGACTAGCCCCCAGAGCTGGAACTAGCCCACTTATACTCCCCTGTTCCTGTGATTTTCTGACCCTGAGACCCTCCAACTATCCTTTTGGGGTTTCCCCCGCCCCACTTCGCCAGTCTTTCCAGTGGCTTTGAACTTGGGGAAGCTGGGACTGGGGTAGGGTAGAGGCCCCAGCACGGCCCCTTGTCGTCTTGTGCACCACCTGATAGGCAGAGAGGAGGTGAAGTGGGCCGGGAGCCACAGCTTGGGAGCTGTTCTGGTGAAGGCAGATAACGGTGCTGGACTGAATCCGCCTTAGGACCTCGGCCTTCCCCACCTTTCAGCTTAGCTTACTGACACCAACCTCCCACCTCTGACCCCCATGTCCAGGCCCCAGGGCTTTCCAGAGCTGAAGAATGACACATTCCTACGAGCAGCTTGGGGAGAAGAGACAGACTACACTCCAGTTTGGTGCATGCGGCAGGCAGGCCGCTACTTACCAGGTCAGGGTCAGGGCCTGGGAATCTAGGTAAAACTGTGGAGGGCAAAAAGTTTGGCGGGGGCACAGGGGAGAGCTGTTCAAGGTTCTCCAAGGCTGAGCCCTGCCTCTTCTCTCCGGTCGACAGAGTTTAGGGAAGCTCGGGCTGTCCAGGACTTTTTCAGTACCTGTCGATCTCCAGAGGCCTGTTGTGAACTGACTCTGCAGGTGAGGGGCCCACAAAAGAGGGGAGGGATTTATGTCCTCCGCTCACTATGTAGCAATCTGTCTTCTATTCCCTGTAGCCACTGCGTCGCTTCCCTCTGGATGCTGCCATCATCTTCTCCGACATCCTTGTTGTACCCCAGGTACCCACTCAAACCTGATTCTGGAATGGATGAAACAGGGAGTAGACAGTGAGGCTCAAGATGGACACTTATCCTCACTGGACATGGGGAAAACAGGCTGGAAGAGATGGTTTGGCTGAGGTTCACTCTCCTTTTCCTCTTTCCTGGTATGGGCTGAACAGAGCCTCTCTCCTGGAGTTACAGGTTGGGAACACAGATGTTTTCTTCCCCTTCAGGCACTGGGCATGGAGGTGACCATGGTGCCTGGCAAAGGCCCCAGCTTCCCAGAGCCATTAAGAGAGGAGCGGGATTTAGAGCGCCTCCGGGATCCAGCAACAGTGGCCTCTGAGCTGGCCTATGTATTCCAGGCCATCACCCTCACTCGACAACGGCTGGGTGGACGTGTGCCCCTGATTGGCTTTGCTGGTGCCCCGGTAATGTGGAACAGGGCAGGTACTCGGGCATGGGGAAATCACTCTGGTAGGTCTGGTGTAGACAAGGAAAGGAAGTGTCAGACTTCTACACCTGTGACATTCTCTTTGTATCCTTTTGCAGTGGACTCTGATGACATACATGATTGAGGGTGGCAGCTCAAGCACCATGGCTCAGGCCAAGCGCTGGCTTTACCAGAGACCAAAGGCCAGTCACCAGCTGCTTCGCATCCTTACTGATGCGCTGGTACCATATCTGGTGGGACAAGTGGTTGCTGGTGCCCAGGTGAGTCCTGAGGGAGAGACAGATAGGCTGGGGTGTAGCACATAAGGACCAGAATCAACGCAGGTCCCTATATCTGAGAGGGTAGGTGTCTTAATGCCAGGCATGAAAGAAGTTTGGCTTGCAGTGATCTGGCCAGAGCAGCTGAGTGCACCCTGACACTGGCAGGGGCGCTAATGTTTTGTGTGTTCAAAGACCAAAGCTAGCACTGGGACCTGGAGGAAAAGACAAAACTTTTTGACTGGAACTGGGTGTATAGGTGCAGGCAGTATCAAGGGTTCACGTCACTTGGGGAATGATGGAGGCACATTCTGTGTGTGGGCCTGAGATACTTCCTTTTTGTGTGTTAAATGTGCCTCTTCACCACCACCTCACCGTAGGCACTGCAGCTCTTTGAGTCCCACGCGGGGCATCTTGGCCCCCAGCTCTTCAATAAGTTCGCGCTGCCCTACATCCGTGAAGTGGCCAAGCGAGTAAAGGCCAGGCTGCAGGAGGCAGGCCTGGCACCGGTGCCCATGGTAAGAATGGGGGAGGATGAGTGAAGAAGGTGTGACTGGAACTTTCAGGGTAAGTCCTGCATGGAATGAAGTGACCACTGAAGGGCAGCAAAGGTACAGCTAAGATAATAGTAAGTTAGTAGGCAGAGCAAAGGCCCTCTGTAGCCTCAGGAATCTGCCCTTGTTTTCCCCAGATTATCTTTGCTAAGGATGGACATTTTGCTCTGGAGGAGCTGGCTCAGGCTGGCTATGAGGTGGTTGGGCTTGACTGGACAGTGACCCCAGAGAAAGCCCGGTGAGTAACGGAGTGGGAGGTAGAGGGGGTGCAGCTGCCATATGTGCCGTCACTAGAACGTAGCATCAACTCTGCTTCCAGGGAGCGTGTGGGGAAGAGCGTGACGTTGCAGGGCAACCTGGACCCGTGCGCCCTGTATGCATCTGAGGTAACAACCAGGGCCCCTGGGTGTGTCTGCGAGTGTGTCTCTGTGCACTGCACGGCGGTAGATGTGGTTGTATTCTTGTGTGTTTTCATGTCTGCCTGTCCCCTCTACCCTACACACACCATGCGAACTTTAGGAAGACAGGAATTTCTTTTTGTTGTTGTGTTTTCACAGTGCCTGGCCCATCCTAGGCATCCAATATTTTTTGGATTAATGACTGAATGAATTATAAAAACTAGAATCACACCTACATATATGTGTGTCACTATTATGTATAAGGAGGACAGAGGTTGCTGGCCCTTCCAGCAGCCAATGCCCTGTTGGTCCCCAGGAGGAGATTGGGCGGCTGGTGCAGCAGATGCTGGATGACTTTGGGCCACAGCGCTACATTGCCAACCTGGGCCATGGACTGTACCCTGACATGGACCCAGAGCACGTGGGGGCCTTTGTAGATGCTGTGCACAAATACTCACGTGTACTTCGACGGAAGTGAGCATACATTCTTTTCCCCTCAAGTTCCACCAACACAGAATGTTGTTTCCAGGAGAATAAAAGTCCCAGAGCTGGAGTCTAGCATGTGGTTTTGTTTACCTGTGCCCTTATCTTCAGTTCCTCCTTAGCCTCTGCTCCCTCCCCCGGGGCTTCCTTCTGCACCCTTCCCAAAGCCGTGGAACTCAGGTACCGGACTATGTGCCATAGGGCTTAATGTCAGGGCCCTCACCCCCATTGTGTCCTCAGTTCTCCAAGACCCAGAGCAACCTAACAGCTGGAGCTGTGACATTTGCCGAGATTTGGGTCCCCACAGCTTATGAGGTCAGAGTGACAGGGCTTCGTGTCTGAGGAGGTAGATCAGAGAGGGGCACAGGAATGGCTAGAGTATTTCAGAGAGGCCTTCAAGGAAGATGGAATCTAGGTAAGCAGGGAGAAGCTGAGAAGCGTTTAGCTTTGATACCGAAAGATACCAGAGAGGGGAGGACATGAAGACTGTGAGCCAGGGTGCTTGGGAGCAGAGCCTTAGACCTGCGTCGCTGAGGTGGGAAGGCCTCTGATGCCAGAGGTCCCGATGGTGCTCAGGGTGGTTCTGCGTACCCTCTAATTTTCTCAGGATCTTGGAGTTTCTGGCCATTATGATGGCATCTGCTTCCTGGGACAAGGCTCTGAGCTGCCTGTGAGCTCCGGAGAGGGGTCTGGTGTGGCAGGAAATCTTCCTTGTCATTGCACATCTCACACCACTAGAAACCCACTGCAGTCTAGACCCCAATAGCTCCCTGTCCCAGCCAGGGCGATGCAGAAGAGAGAGAAGGGCCCCATTTATTGAGAGAACACAATTTCTGTTTTCACAGAAATGATCTTTTCTGTGATCCGTGATTTATTTATAGAAAAGCACTCTGAGTTCACATACTTGCTAAAAAATGGCAATCATGATACAGAAATGGGAGTGGCTTTTTTTTTAAACCAACCTACTGGGCCGAGAGGTTGTAGGGGCCCATGGCTGAACAGTGAGACTTCATTAGCCACAAACAGCAAATACAACTTCCTGGTTAGTGTGGAGGGAGAAAAAGGTGACACAACCAGTTTGTCAAAGAAAGGAAAATAAAGCAGACAGGTCCTTAGTTCACACTCTAGCTATTCCACCCTTTCCCTATCACACCCCACCCCCTACTCAGGAACTAAAACCTAGAACAGTCAACACCAAGACACTGGCATCCAAATGACTTTTGAATGCCCTTGCTACCTTCTATGGGAATTCCAGGCTGAGCACAGGGCAGGAAGGTAACAGGAACATCATACACTGGAGGTCAGCCAGGGCTAAGACAGAGGTTGCCCACTAGGGCTAGAAACTAGTCAGAAAGGGAAAGGCCAAATGCATCCCAGCCCCAGCCTCCGAATCAGTAATCAATGGGACTGTGACAAAGCTTGAGGTAGCGAGGCGGGGGAAGAAAGCAAGTACAGGGTGAGAAGAGAACTGTGGAGCTGAAGATGCCACTCTTAAGGTAGAGGGAGACGTGCTTAGAAGCTTGTTTGGCGACAGAATAAAGGAGGCACAGAGACGGGGAACATATTTAGCTGGTGAGAGAGACTAAGAGGAACTGGGAAGGGATCTGGCAAAAAGAGAAGAGCCACATTTATGCAGATCCTCAAGCATGAATTCACAGATATACCTACACGTTGAAATATACAGAGTTACACGTGTAATGACAGAACAATGGAGAGCAGGCGTACACACAAACATGTTCATACACTTGCACTCCTGTGTGCCCATACACTAAACATGCAACAAACATGAACACACACACATAAGTATTCTTACATATTCACAAATGTGTGTGCCCTCACACAAAAACCCAGAGTCCAGCACACAGACATGTATTCACACAGATACATATATGTGCATGTACAGGCACACACAGATACATCTAAGCATACAGACATATGTACTTAGCCATACAGATATATACACATACATAATTAGAGATGAAACCAGACACTCTTTAACACAAAGGCGACCACAGCAAATGAATACTATGAGCTCAGTGGCCTCCCAGACCTTCACCTTCTCCCTGCACTTGTTTCCCAGGAGCTCAGCAGGCTCCTAGAGGCTGTGTGAAGCAGGAGCAAGAGCTTCAGTGTCTCATGGCTTCATGCAGCGAAAGTCTAAGTCCAGTCCTGGCCCTGCCCCTCACCCACCGTGGAGCTACAGGTGCCCCGTCTGTAGGCTGGGGTTTCTGCATAGACTAGACTTGGGATTTATTCTAACTGGCCATTTTTCTTCCTTCCACCCTCACTCTTCCACTGCCAACAGCATATACTCTGCAAAGAAAACCTGAGAAATGGTGTGAGTCTCCTCAGAAAACAGGCCTATCTTCCTACCCACAGCTGTTTCAAGTACCCATCAAATTAGAACCAGAGTTATAAATAGTTATAACTTTATAATGTAATTGGCAACACATATACTATAATATTTACAGTACCATAAATGTTTCTGTTTCTCTGGTTAAGCAATCCCTGAGACGGAACAGTGTTCAGTGTTTGCCAACGGAGAGGGGGCCAATGCCCAGGACACACGCAGGATACAGGAGTGTGAGGTGGCATGTTGTAAGGTTTCTGATTGATCTGCAGGACCCAGCTCCTCCAGGAACAGTGGGCTATGTGAGAATCTTGCCAAGGCAGGCATATTGGCTACAGTCGGACTCTCCCCATGCTCAGCCCTGTGGCCTGTGGTTCAGCCACAGGTGCTTCGAGTCCTCTCAGGGTGGACAAATGTTTCAGTGTCCTTGGCCTGACCTGATGGTACCTGGGAGCCCAGGCTGCCCCAGCAGTGAGCTGTCTGCTTTCTCAGCCAAAGCGTTCTCTCACCAGCAGCATCAGCTTCTTCTTGCCTTTGTAGATTTGTTTGAGGTTGTCGATGAACTGGGCAAACTGCAGGTGGCCATCTTGCGGCAGCAGGAAGGTCTCCCGAGCCTTGCTCAGAAACTCGATAAACTCTCCATAGTGGCGAGGGCTGATGTGTGTCAGGCGTGAGTGTGTAGTGTTGATGTAGGCATTGATGGTGGCGTCCAGCAGCTGGCGCAGTGGAGCTTTGTCAGTGGACATAAGCTTCCCAGAGCTGCGGCGCCCAGGGATGCCAGCCAGGCCCGGCGCAGTCACGGTGCAGCGCCGCAGGATGTCCGACAGCACTGTGGCACAGTGCACGCTCTTCACCACCAGGGGAATGAGGGCCGCCAGCTCATTCTTGCCCAGAGAGTGGCTAAGGGCGCATGCCCAGAGCACATCATTGATGGCTGGATGGGTGTCCTGGTTGTAGGCCAGGTTGAGATGGCTCATGGCCAGCGAGGCCAGCTTGAAGGCACGTAGCGGGTAGCCACGGAGCTCCATGTAGCGGGCGATGGTGAACAGCTGTGAATGGGTCATGCCCCCAGCAGCAGCGTCAATGGCGATCTGGTAGGCTGCCTCAAAGGCGATGTGGTCTTTTTCACAGAGTGTAAGGGCTGACAGGGCACAGCTCTGCGGATCCTTCATAGCACACTGCAGGGCCAGCGTGCGAGCACAGCTAGCTAGCTCCTCCCGCTGTGGATAGTCAAGACTGAGGCGCAGGATAGTGGTGTGGGACACGGCTGTGGCAGCCACAATGCTAGTAGCCTCGGTGGGGGTGAAGAGTGTGTACCAGCTCTGCAAGATGCTCACCAGGGCCCGCACACCTGTCAGGGAGAGCCTGAGCTCAGCCGTGGCCATCCGGGTCCCGATCCAGGTCTGCCCAGATTACCAACTGGGGTCAGAACTTGGCCTGCAGAGATGAGTTCTCCTTTCTCCTCCACAGCCTTGAGATGATCTGAGGCAAACCAGGGAATGGGGAGCATCCCGGATGGCCAGACCCTGTTTGGGGTCTCTTCCCATCCCTTCCTTCCCCAGGTCAGAGGACTGAAGGTCTCTGCAGGTGCTCTTATCCCCTCACAAGGATGGAGCAGCAGAGCCTGCGGTTTGCCTGCCCCGAGGCAGGGGTTGCAGATCTGCCTGGGCGTTCTAGCTGAAGTGGGGCCTCTCAGGGTAGAGTCTTGTGCTGGGGCTTTGGACTCTAGATGGGGTCCTGAGCCTCCAAGTTGTTTGGGGTTTCTCAGAAGTACGGACAGGGACTGGGACCAAACCACCAGGTCAACTACCTCACAGGGGTGCACTTGAGTACTGATGGTTGAAAATTCATTCTCTCGGATGTCTCTGATTAGAAAGTCAAAGTGCTGTTGACATCAGGGTATAGTCCAAGCAGAAAGCAGAGCTTGGACTGACTGAACAGAGGCCCCCTTCTACCAGTAGCCCTGTCCTTTCTCAGGCCATCAGTAACAGGAATATGAGAGCTCTAATGGTCTGTTGTCTTGTCACAAGAGTAGGGCCCAGGAATCCTTTACCCTGGGGGCAGAGGGAGGTAGGAGACTCACCCACTTCTGTAGCACACGTCACCAACCACCGCACCATCTCCCGGCGCCTCCAGTTAAGGGTTGATAAGGTCATCCTCATCACCTGGGCAAAAAAAGGGGCATTACCAGTAAGTTAAGCATAACTGGTATGAACCCCCTCTCCCTACTTCCCCTTGCCATTTCTTTATGAAACAAGTATTTATTGGTGCTTTACATGACCATTTCTCCCAATAAGGACAGGCAGGTTCATTACATTTCAGTCCCACACTTCCTACAAATCAGACAGAAGGCTTCACTGATGACCTCTAACAAATAAAGCCCTTACTTACCACGCCATGCTTGACTTCAAGGAGTGGGGTGGGGAGATGATGGGGTCCCCATGGAGCCTAAAGCTATGTTGCTTCTGGACTTAACTTCAAAATGGGGCCCAATTTATAGAGTTCTTATCTTGTGCCTAGGCTAGAAGTTGTACTGTGGGGACACAGAATGAACCAGACCTGGCCTATGTCCAGACCCCCTGGGGTTGTATCTTCCATCAATTACCGCCAGGCCAGAAGCCTAAAGCTGGGATGGCCCACTCCTCCGTACCTGCAACCCCAGCTCCAGGGCCACATTAAGCAGGGTGCTGTCAGCACTACTGTCCGTGGGGGTGGCAATCTTGAATGCATCTTGGGCCAGTTTGAAGATGAGGGAGGAAGAATGGATGTGCTTCTGTATTGCTTCCAGGATTGTTCGGAGCCTCAGAGTATCCCCTATAGGTACCAAGAAAAGGGGCAGGGACAAGGTCTTCTTTAAAGCTTCCCTGAATGGTCCACCAATCACAACAGGTACTGGCTGAAATGGCTGCTATCAATTCACTGAATGCTCCTGAATGCTACCATCCCTTCTGGATGATCAAGTGCTATCTCCACTGAACCCACAGGACACTGCTTCCTTCCCCATCACCCACGTGAATTCACTTCTTTTCACCTTTTCGTCTGCTTCTATCCCTCGCTCTCTTTAGGTCTCAGAAATAATTTTCATGAACACCTGAGTTTTGAGAGCTACTTATACAGAAGACAGGGAGCCACAGTATTGCCAAAAAAGTATGCCAGTCCCACTGTTTGCCTCCTTGGAGCAAAAAGAACATGGGTCACTATTTCCTATTCAGTAGGCAAGAATTCTAAACAAAGTACTAGGGCACAGAGTAGGGAATACACCACAGGAAAGGCATCTGTGCCATTAGAAGTGAAGGCCACTGTATGAAGGCAGTATGGTATGTGAAAGATTGGCATATCTTATAGAGGAGTAAATGTTAAGTAAATATAGAACGAAAAGTAGGTCTTATGTTTTCTAGAATTATAGTGGTAAGAAATAGGCTTTGGAATGAAATACATTGGAAATTTCAGCCCTTTTACCAGTTACTTCATCTATAAAATAGAAACTATATCTTTTAGGGTTGTTGTGGGAGTTATATATAATTTGTATATAGGTAATATTTTATGATTCTAGTTTTACTAAAAAGAAATAAGGCCCTGGCTGGGTAGCTTGGTTGGAGCATTATCTCATATACCAAAAAGTTAGGGGTTCAGTCCCACTCAAGACACATACCTAGCTTGTGGGTTCAATCCCCCCATTGGGGTGCATATGGGAGGCAACCAATCAGTGTTTCTCTCTCACACTGATGTTTCTCTTTCTTCTCTCTAAAATCAATAAACATATCCTCCGGTGATGATTAAAAAAAAAGCTAAGTAGCATAGTGTGTATAGTGTGTTATGTGCATCCATATGAGTAGATAATCTCCAGGAATATTTATTTATTTATTTATTATTGATTTACTTTTAGAGAGAGAGGAAGGGAGGAAGAAAGGGAGAAAAACATCAATGAGTGGTTGCCTCTTGCGCACCCCCTACTGGGGACCTGACCTGCAACCCAGGCATGTGCCCTAAGACTCAAACCTGCGACCTTTGGTTTGCAGGCTGGCACTCAATCCACTGAGCCACACCAGCCAGGACTCCAGGAATATTTATATGAATGTCTTAGTAGTAGTTATCTTTGGATATCAGGATTATGGAAGAAATTACCTTTTTTCTTTTCTTTTTGATTCCAGAGAGAAAAGGGAGGGGGAGCAGAAAGAGAGAGAGACAGAAACAGAGACAGAGAAAGAGAGAGACACAGAGAAACACATCGGATATGAGAGAAACATCAATCAGCTGCCTTCCAAATATGCCCTGACAAGGGGCTGAACCTACAACCTACGTATGTGACCTGACCGGGGATTGAACCTGTAATCTTTTGGTTTACAGGACGATGCTCCAGCCAACTGAGCCACACTAGCCAGGGTGAGATTACCTTTTTTCTTCTATTATCTTTAAAAACAGTTTTGTTTTTTTTTTTAATTAATAGACTTTGGCCTTGCCCTGACCAGTGTGACTCAGTTGGCTGGGAGTTATTCTGCAGAACAAAAGGTCATGGGTTTGATTCTCTGTCAAGGTACATGCTTGGGTTGCAGGTTCAGTTCCTGGTCTGGGCTGTACAAGGAGCAACCAATCAATGTTTCTCTTCCTCTTTTTTCCCCTCCCTTCCTCTCTCTGTAAAAATAATTAAAATCTTTTAAAAAATAGACTTTGGCTCTGGCTGGTGTGGCTCAGATAGTTGGAACATCATCCTGTAAATTGAAAGGTTGTGGGTTTGAATATTGGTTAGGGCACATGCCTAGGTTGTGGGTTTGTCCCCTGTTGGAGTGTGTTTGGGTGGTGGCCCATCAATGTTTCTCTCACATCAAGGTTTTTCTCTCTCTCTTTCCCTTCCTCTCACTCTAAAAGCAATGAAAAAAATGTCCTCAGATGAGGATAAAAAATTTAATACTTTTTTTCAAAGTAGTTACAGGTATATAGAAAATTAAGCATACAGTACAGAGAGTTCCCATATATCCCATCTCCTTACTTCCAGTTTCCTCTATTATTAACATTTTACATGAGTGTGATATATTTGATGGGTCAACACTCATACGTTATTAACTACAGCCCATAGTTTTGTTAGGGTCCATTGTGGTTATACAGGTCTATGGTTTTTACAAATGCACAGTACCATGGATCCCCCATTACTGTATCATACAGAATAGATTCATTGCTTTAAAAACCTGTGCTACACCTACCTATTCATCCCTCTCTTCATTCTTCCTGTGACTACTGGTCTTTTCACTGTCCATAGTTTTACCAAGTACAATGCCATAAACTTAGAATTACAGTATGTAACATTTTCAGCCTGGCTTCTTTCACTAAGCAATATCCATTTAAAGTTCTCCATGTCTTTTTGTGGTTTGATAGCTCATTTCTTTTTATTGGTAAATACTATTCCACTGTATGGATCTATCAGTTTTTTTATCCATTCACTTTTTGAAGGACACCTGGTTGCTTCCAGTTTTGGATGATTATAAAAAAGATGTTGCAAACATCTGTGTGCAAGTTTTTGTGTGGACACAGGTTTTCAACTTATTTTGGTAAATACCCAAGAGAACAATTTCAGGATTATATGATAATACTATATTTAGCTTTGAAAAAAACTGCAAAACTGCCTTCCAAACTGGCTTCACCTTTTGCATCCCCAACAATGAGAGTTCCCGTTGCTCCACAGCCTCACCTGTGCTTGGTGCTGCCTGGGTTTTGGTAAGCTCTTCTAATAGGTATGTGGTGGTATCTCACTTTTGTTTTCTTTTCCCTAAACACAATATGCTGAGCATTTTTCATGTGCTTGTTTGCCACCTGTGTGTCTTGTTTGGTGAGACATCTGTTCATGTCTCTGACCCATTTTAAAATTCAGTTGTTTGTTTTCTTGTTAAGTTTTAAGTGTTATTTGTATATTTGGGATACAAATCTTCTATCAGGTAAGTGTTTTACAAATATTTTCTCCCAGTCTGTGGTTTATCATTTCAGTTTCTTAACAGTATTTTTCATTGAGCAGAAGTTTTTCATTTTAATGAAGTCCTATTTATCAATTTTTTCTTTTGTGGATTGCATTTTTGGCATCTAAAAAGTCATTGCCGAACTCAAAGTCACCTCGATTTTTCTGTTATTTTCTGTTAAGTTTCAGCTCTGCATTTTACTTTATGTCACTGATCCATTCTGAGTTAATTTTTATAAAAGGTGTAAGGTCAGTGTCTGTATTCATTTTTTTGCATGCGGATGTCCTGTTTTTCCAGTACCACTTGTTGAACAGACTATTCTTTGCTCCTTTGTCAAAGATCAGTTGACCATATTTGTGTGGGTCTATTTCTGAGCTCTCTATTCTGTTCCATTTAACTATTTGTCTGTTCTCTGGCCAATACCACACTATCTTGATTATAACAGCTTTACGATAAGTCTTAAAGTTGGGTGGTGTTAAGTTCTCCAACTTTGTTCTTTAATATTGTGTTGGCTATTCTAGGTATTTTGTTTTTCCATGTAAACTTTAGAAAGAGTTTGTCAATACCCACAAAATATCATGGGATTTTGATTGAGGTTGTATTGATCTATAGATCAAGTTGGGAAAACTGATATGAAAATATTGAGTCTTCCTCTCTATGGACATGAACTACTTATTTAGATTTTCTTTTGTCTCTTATCAAAGTTTTATATTTTCTTAATATAGATATTGTGTGTACATATTTTGTTAGATTTATTCCTAAACCCTTTTCTTGGGTGCTAATGTAAATGGTATTGTTTTTAACTTCAAATCTAAATTGTTCGCTGTTGGTATATAGGAAAGCAGTGGACTTTTCTATCTTAACCTTGTGTGCTTGATATAATCACTTATAAACAGTTCCAATTTACTGTTAATTCCTTGAGATTTTCTACATAATCGTGTCATTTGCAAGCAAAGACAGTTTTATTTCTTCCTTTCTAATCTGAATAATTTCCTTTCTTGTCTTATTGCTTTAGCTAGAATTTCCAGTATGATACTGAATGGGAGTGGTAAGAGAGGACATTTTTATCTCATATATGATTTTCAAGGGAGCACCTAGTTTCTCTCCATTAAGTATGGTGGTAGTTACAGGTTCTTTGTAGTTGTTCTTTATAAAGCTGAGTGTCTGCTCTACTCCTATTTGCTGAGGTTTTATTTTTAAATAATGGATTTAAAAAATCCACATCTGGATTTGGTCAAATCATTTTCTTGCATCTACTTACATAATCATATGATCTTTCTTTTTTAGGCTGTGGATATGATGGATTACCTCACTTTTCAAGTACTTGAACCAGCTTTCCATCTCTGAAATAAATCCCACTTGGTCATGGTGTATACTTTTTTTATACTTTGTTGGATCCAATTAGCTAACATTTTATTTAAGAGTTTCACATTTATTTACATGAGTGATATCGGTCTGTAGTTTTCCTTTCTTGTATTATTTTTACCTGCTTTTGGTTTACCAGTAATGCTGGCCTCACCAGATGACTTCAGAGGTGTTCTCTCTGTTTCTGTTTTCTGGGAAGAGATTATAGAGAATTGGTATCCTTTTTCCCCATAAATATTTGATAGAACTCACCAGTGAATTCATCTGGGCCAAGTACTTTCTGTTTGAAAAATAATTGAGTCAATTTCTGTAATACAGATCAGCCTAATCAGATTTATTTCTACATCTGTGAGTTTTATTAGATTGTGTTTTTTCAAAGTTGTGAACATACAGTTGTTCATAATTTTCCTTTATTGTCCTTCTACTGACCATAGGATCAGTAATGATAGCCTGCCTCTCTCTCTCTCTCCTTTCTTTCTTTTGTTTAAAATAAATCCTCACCCAAGGATATGTTTACTGATATTTAGAAGGAGAGGAGAGAGAGAACCATCAATGTGAGAAACATCAGTTGGTTGCCTCCTGTACATGCCCTAACTGGGGATAGAACCCAAAACAGGTATGTACCCTGACCAGGAACTGATGTGCAACCTGTTGGTGCACAGGACGACACTCCAACCAATCAGTCACCCAGCCAGGGCTCCCTCTCTCAGTTATTTATTTATTTATTCTTTCGTTTACTGGTTAGTTGGGTAGAGGTTTATCAAATTTAATGGTCCTGCCCTGGCTGGTGTAGCTCATTGGATTGAGCATGGGCTGTGAACCAAAGTGTCGCAGGTTCGATTCCCAGTCAGGGTACATGCCTGGGTTGCAGGCCATGACCCCCAGCAACCGCACATTGATGTTTCTCTCTCTCTCTCTTTCTCCCTCTCTTCCTTCTCTACAAATAAATAAATAAATAAAATCTTTAAAAAAATTCAATGTACTTCTAAAAAAATTTAATGGTCCTTTCAAAGAAGCAGTATTTGCTTTCACTGGTTTTCTCTATATTTTTCCTATTTTAAATTTCACTGATTTCTGCTCTAATTTTTTTTATTTTTTTAAATATATTTTATTGATTATGCTATTACAGTTGTCCCATTTTCCCCCTTCACTCCCCTCTACCATGTACCCCCTCTCCCACACATATCCCCCCCTTTAGTTCATGTCCATGTGTCATACTTATGACTTCTTTAGCTTCTACATTTCCCATACTATTCTTACCCTCCCCCTATCTATTTTCAACCTACATTCTATGCTACTTATTCTCTGTTCCTTTTCCCCCTCTCTCCTCCTCCCACTCCCCTGTTGCTAACCCTCCATGTGATCTTCATTTCTGTGGCTCTGTTCCTGTTCTAGTTGTTTGCTTAGTTTCTTTTGGTTTTGCTTTAGGTCTGGTTGTTCATAATTGTGAGTTTGCTGTCCTTTTACTATATGTGTCTTTTCTTTATCTTCTTTTCTTAGATAAGTCCCTTTAGCATTTCATAAAATAAGGGCTTGGTGATGATGAACTCCTTTAACTTGACCTTATCTGAGGAGCACTTTATCTTCCCTTCCATTCTAAATGAGAGCTTTGCTGGATAGAGCAATCTGGGATGTAGGTCCTTGTCTTTCATGACTTGGAATATTTCTTTCCAGCCCCTTCTTGCCTGCAAGGTCTCTTTTGAGAAATCAGCTGACAGTCTGATGGGAACTCCTTTGTAGGTGACTGTCCCCTTATCTCTTGCTGCTTCTAGGATTCTCTCCTTCGTTTTTACCTTGGCTAATGTAATTATGATGTGCCTTGGTGTGTTTCTTCTTGGGTCCAACTTCTTTGGGGCTCTCTCAGCTTCTTGGATTTCTTGGAAGACTGTTCTCTTTGCCAGATTGGGGAAGTTCTCCTTTATTATTTGTTCAAATATGTGCTCAATCTGTTGCTTTTCTCCTTCCCATTCTGGTACCCCTATAATTTGGATGTTGGAACGTTTAAAGGTGTCCTGGATGCTCTTAAGCTTTTCCTCAATTTTTTGAATTCTTATTTCATCATGCTTTCCTGCTTGGTTGATTCTATCTTCCTTCTGGTCCACTGTATTGTTTTGAGACTCAGATTCCTTCCTTTCACTATTGGCTCTCCTCCGCATATCTTCCTGCATCTCTTTTATGGTAACCTGCATCCTTTCATCTAAATTGCGCCCAAAATCAGCCAATTTCGTGAGCTTTCTGATCACCAGTGTTTTGAACTGTGCATCTGATAGATTGGCTATTTCTTGGTCGCTCAAAAGGATGAGTCCTGGGGGACTGATCTGTTCTGTTGGAAACATATCTTATGTCTTTCCCTGTCTCTCCTTTTTTTTTTTTTCCTGGTCTGGTCGCTCCTGTTATGGTGGGGGGTGGAGCCTTAGTTGTTCACCGGGGCTGGGCACCCCAGTCGCTAGATTGTAACGTTATATGTGGGGGCGGGAGCGGGGACAGGAGGGAACAATGGTGGTAGTTCTGTTCTCCTGGGCTCAGACTCTTCTCTGGGATCCTGGGCTGCGAGCTCTGCCCTGGTCCACAATCGCCGCCTCACTGGGTCCGCGAGCCACAGCTTGCGTACTCAGGGATCACCGCTGCATTCTTGCACCCCGGATGGCTGTCGAGCTGATTTTGCGCCAAGTTTTCCCCGACCTCCGCGCGCCGCCAACCCGCACCAGCCCTGCACCCGCCCAGCTCGTCGTCTCCTACCAGTCTGGATGTACGGGTCTACTTCAACTTCTTGGCTGTCCACTTCCATTCAGATAAATCCTCTATCAGTTCTGAGTGTTATTCTATCTGTAAATTATTGTTGTTCTAATCTTGGTTGTGCGAGGAGGCACGGTGCGTCCACCTAGGCCTCCGTCTTGCCGGAAGTCTCCTAGGTTGACATTTTTTTAATAAAGTATTCTCCCCCCCCCCCCCACTATCTTCTGGCTTACACAGCTTCCAAGAGATACATTGATCTGTTGCCTCTTGCATGCCTCCAACCGGGGACCTGGCCTGCAACCCGGGCATGTGCTCTGACTGGGAATCAAACCTGCAACCTTTCAGTTTGCAGGCTGTCCCCCAATCCACTGAGCCACACCAGCCAGGGCTTATCCTTGTCATTTGTCCTTTGTATGTAATGTGTCTTTTATTTCCTCTAGGTGCTTTTAAGTGAGAGTTTCTTTTTTTTTTTATCACTGGTTTTAAGCAATTTGTTTATGATGTGCCTTGGTATATTGCCTGCCCCCCGCCACCCCGCCATATCTTGTGCTTGAGATTGAGCATCTTGATCTGCAGTCATCCTTACCATCCTACTCGGAATCTGACACTCCATGCCAGGCCACTGCCACCACCACTCGCTGCATAGATGCCTATTATCGAATTTGTTGAGGTTTACCAATAAGATTGGTAAAACAATCTTATCCCAGGGTAATTTTAATTTGTATTTCTCAAGTGAAGCCAAGCATTTTAATTGCTTATGTCATCTATATCCTTTTTTTTCTGTAAACTGCCTAATTATAGCTTTTGTTCAATTTTTGTACTATTTTATTGATCGTTTCTATATTGCTCCATCTGTATCTTTTACCTTTTCTAAAATGAGCATGCATTTTTTGGGCAGTAAGATACCATATAAAGTTACTTTATAAAAAAAATGCTTTGACCTCTGGCTGGTGTGTCTCAGTGGACTGAGTGCTGGCCTGTGAACCAGAAGGTCACCACTTTGATTCCCAGTAGTGGCACATGCCTGGGTTGTGGGCCAGGTCCCCCACTGGGGGCATGAGGAAGGCAAATGATTGATGTTTCTGTCCCTCTCTTTCTCCTTCCCTTCCCCTCTCTATAAAAATAAATAAAAATCTAAAAAACATTTTTAAATGCTTTAAAAAATCCATATTATTACCTGGTATCAGAAAAACATTTACAGTTCATGGTAGCTAGTATTTTATTATAACTTCTCAGTGGTTTATTTTCATTTTGCTTTGCGGTGAAACCTCCATAGTTAACAGGGAGTATGTGAGTTTGAAAGCCTGAGAGTCACATTGGCTGCCTATCTTTTGACCAGGGCCTTGGGAAAAGCGCCAGCTGTCGTATCTGTAGAGAGATCTGCAGCTCCGTCGTAGTCATCACTTCACCGAATCTCCCAATGGCCATGGGAGGTTGATAGGTCATTGACAGTGATCCCCATGTTATAGCTTTTGAACCTGAGGCTTGGAAAGGTAAAGTGATTTTATCATATGGATGCTTAGATTTAGAAGTTTCCTTAAAAATGATCTCGTTCTGTGTATTCAGGGTCTTATAATCATTAAATAGGGCAAAACTCTGGACTGAACCCAAGTGCTCATTCTCAATGCGGCAATCAAAGTGAGGATCCCTATCAGTCTAAGAGGTCAAGGGAGGGCAATCAGCTTCCCTTCTTTAGGAGACTGCAGGCCAAGCCCATGACAGGGCCATGACGTGGCTGGCACAGTGGGGGGTGCTGAAGGCTAGGATCTATCTGTGCTCACCTTTGGCAGCAGTCAGCATGGTGGAGGCCAGTTCACACTGCTGTGATTCCAAGTGTCCAAGTGTGAACCAGCGAGGGTAACGGCTGGGCACCACAGACACCACATGGTGAGGGTGGGAAGTGTCGCCTGGAGAAACTGAGTTTTCTAGAACAGGTAACCTAGAAGATCCAGGAAGAGTCATTAGCCACCATTCAGATCCTTGCCATTCTGAGCCGTCTTAGAAAAGCTTGTTTTTGCAGGGAAATAAGTGAGCAGGAAAGGGTTAACTAAGAACTTTGAAGATTTTAAAATTTGGGGTACTGTACTTTATACGAGGTGAGTGCTTGGGTACTTGTAGAACTCAAGCTGAACAGTCACTGCAAATGTATCTGAAAGGCAGTTCAAGAGCCATAAGATTATTTTTTTTAAGTATAAGGAATGTATGCCAAAGAATCCTGAGCAGCTCTTTTCTGATTGAGGTGAGAAGCTCCCTCAACCTTATGGTCTAACTAAAAATTCTTCTGTACGGTCTGCTGCATCCTTGAGGTCCACCTGCTTAAACCAAGGATCCTATTCTAGTTTGGGAACAAGATGCCCACAGCTCATTGTTCTCACATCTTGGTATAGAAAGACTTATTTCTGTCTCCCCCATGTATCTGGTGACTGTTCCTGGGAGCCATGGCTCAGCTGAGCTATGGAAGGGCTCAAACCCCTTCTCAGGCTGTCTAATTGGCCCAAGAACAGAAATACTCAGGTCATGGGTGTTCCATATCTACTAAAAACTGAGGAGCTCCCTCAGATGACCCACCAAGAGTAGTCAGGGAGCCAAGTGGGTCACCAGCAACGCAACCCAGATAGAAATTCTAGATCAGATGAAAATGTCTAAGCCATTTTAGGGCAGGCTTGGTGGCAGGTCCAATGGAATAGACAAAGAAGGAATGTGATACAAGTGAGATAAACAAAGAAAAAGAGCACCAACGACTTCTGCTTTGATGGAGGCAACTGGGCTGGGAAAGGGCTACCTACCTCATGGCACGTAGGGCTAATTTGTAAGACAGGTCTGGATCATGAGGCAGCAGAGCTGAGAACAAATACTTGGCAAAGGTATGCATGGGAACACTCTCTCGGTGAATGACTTCTCCCAGACCACTGAAGGGGCCTCCTGTAGGAAGAAGATAAGCCAGCCAACTATTTATCTGTATGCTTCTATTTGCCAGCCTAGACTTGAGCCCTAGGATCCCACACGTTTGCTAGCCATGGGAACCTTCAGCACACTTTAATGGCAAAAATGTTTCTGTACCCATGCTCTGTTATTGCAGAAGGTCCCCCAGAGTCATAGGTTAAAGACACTGTGACAATAGCCCCTTCTCTACTTACCTTCCAGTAGTAAGATGCACTGTTTCTGCAGTGTTAGCACTAGTGTATCGTCCAGCTGCAGCTCCTGGAGTCGACTCAGGAGCTGTTCCTCATTACGGCACACCTTGTCCTGTGCGTAGAGGCCTTCAGGCATCACCCTCTGTTGACCCATACCCATCAGAGCAACTTCCAAGGCCAGTGACAGGTAGGACTCACCGCTGTTTGGGCAGCCTGCTGCCATGGGTACATGCTGGTACACAGGGGGTCTGCTTTCATTCATATCTGAGGGCAACAGGTCACCAGATTCCTTAAGTCAGGCCCCATGGATTCATCTGCTTGTCTCTCCCTCCCACTTTGGCATTCAGCTTGGTCAACAGTTGTAACAGGGAAGCTGAGTCAGAATCCCATAGCAGTAAGAAAAATATACTGAACAAAGTTTACACAGAGCCACAAAGACTCCCAGCTCCTTCCTAATATATGGCTGGGCCAGTTGAAGATGGGGAAGTATAAACATCTTATACCAATCTTTTGATAGCACATTATGTAATACCATAATTATTTGTTTTTGTGTCTCTTTCACTAGAGTGTGAGCATCTTAAAGGCAAAAGACTTATTTTCTAGATATTTCCAGGGCCTGGTGTATGGAAGGAGTTAAGTATATGTCCGTGGTGAATAAATCCCAAGTGCAACCTCAGGCTTTGCAGATGCATCACCTTGCAGATGAAATAGACCAAAGATGATGATACCCTTTTAAGGGATAAGAAGGAAGGTAATGGCAGCCCTAGCTTGGATTGGGGCCGCCCCTTGTATCTCTACCAAGATAAATCTGACTCCACCCAGCTAAACTGTTACTTCTATAACACAACTTTTTGTTATTATTACTTTATATGGTCCACCTCTGGGTTCAAAGTTTCAGGAAAAAAGCACAGGTTTAAAAGTCAAAGTTTTGGTTTCTTTCCTTTTCCCTTTCATTCACCTGGTAAGTATTTATGGAAGACTATTAATGGGAGGTATTACACTAAGTGCTGGGATCACAAAGATAAGTCAGTCATAATTTCTACTTTCAAGGTATTGACAGCCTAATAAGAGATAGTCACTTGTAAACAAAGTGAAATGCAGTGTGCTAAATACTATAATAGGTGCATATATACAATATAGTAATGGCATAAATGAGAGAAGAATCAATTCTGTCTCTAGTCCTTGCTACTTTGAGACTCCCTTGAGTTCCCTTCTATTTCTCATTTATAAAATTGGTACAAAATCATCATGAGAAAGAAAGGAAAAATGAAATTATACAATTGCAAGGGATACACACACTCTTGATAGAAGCAAGGTTTTCCCTACCAGACTGCTCCAAGAATTTGGCCTCTGACTCCTGAAGTATCTCTACCCCTTGCTTCCCTTGGACCATACTCCTCAGGGATTCATGGGAAGTGAGAGGAGCAAAGGAAGGTGGCAAGGTAAAATGTGAGAGTAGGAGACAGCTAGTTCACAGGGTGGGAAAGAAAGGTAAGAAAGAGAGGAAGACTAAGGAAATCAGGTATAGTTTCGATGAGGAAAAAAACCTACAGGAGGGGCAGAATACATGCAGCAGGAAGGAGAGTGTTATGGACAATTCTGGCTTGCGTCAGGCTGACCCCCATACCTGACACTTCCAGATAGCTATCATCATTCAGGCGACAGGCCTCAGTTAAAGTAAGAAATAGGCAGCCAATAGGATCCAGGGGGTGACCCACCCAGCCTTCCAGGTTTGTGATGGTTGTGGTTCCTCTTTGCAACAGTTCTGGAAACAAGCAGGTCAAAGTTTTAGAGAGTGATGGAGACACATGGTTCTTTGTCCCTGCCTGAGTCTCCTCATAGTCTCTTTCAGGACTTGGCCCTGAGACTCAGAGAAAGTTTCCCTCACTGTCTTACCTTGGGTTGATAGGACTGGTCATAGGCTTATCAGCCAGCCACGAGGACTTGTGGTCTACATTTAGGTTATCTGCTGGCACAACATAAGTAGATACAGCTTTACAGTTTTAAAAGGGTCTTCTCATGTCAGGTCTTAGTGGGTCTTCCAACAGTCCTCTGAGGGAGGCATGCTGGCATTATTATTCCCATTTTACAGACAAAGATTCACAGAGGTAAAGTGAGGCATTCCACATAACAGGTAGAATGATCTGGAATCCACTAGACTCTGCCACACCATCAAACTTAGTGAAAATTAAGTAATACACCTTGCAGTCCCTGAGGATCCTCATCAGCCATAGCCTAAGGAGTTAAGATGGCTCCTAAGGGCCTAAGAGTTAGTATGGTTCCTAATCATTGTACCTTTCTTCTGATGCTTGTAGATTTCCAGCTGCCGTTGTTGCTGCAACCTCAGAGTATTGATAATGGCCACTGCGAGTCTGAGGGCTTCTTTTGGATAACCATGGGAACGCAGGGCATCAACCCGAGCACAGGCTGTAGGCACATGTTCTACCAGAAGAAAATATTTTGTTTGAGTTATCTTTTCAAATCAGGAAGACTCATGCTTGAGGAAGAGAGTTTGTGCCCTGTTCAGTTCCTCAAATTCAACCTCACATCTATGGTGTACCAGAAACTAGATTCTATCTTTTAAGGATATAAAGTTGAGTAAGTCACAAGTATTACCTTTAAAGAGCTGCCTTGAAGCCTCAGGATGTAGTGTAGAAAGGGACACACAACTAGGATAATGAAATGTACCTCTTTGTGAACATGTACTATTAGAACCTAGTGGAGATAGCAACTAACTGCTGAAAGGGAGAGGCCTCATTCATTTATTAATCCTACATTTTCTGAGAACCTATCATATTCCAGGTAGTATATGGGCAAACAAAGTACAAACACAAATAAGAAATGGTCAGTTCCTTCAAAAAGCTTAAAAATGTTACATAAGCAGACCATATAAAACAGTAAAAAAGAAATGACATAATAGAAATATATACAGAGAGAAAATAATATTTGAGCTGCACTTTTTGGACAAGATTTTAAACAGGTAGACAAATAGGGAAACACATTCCTGGCAAAGGGAATATATAAGCAAAGGCATACAAGTAAAAGTATAAAAAGTATTCTACATAGCATCTTCAGAGTATGACAAATAGTTCTGTGTAGGGAGTTGGCTATATGGCTAGAATAGCCTAGAAAGGAAGAATCTAGAATGTAAAGAGCTTCAAATGCCATACTAAGGAGTTTGGGCTTACTTTAGGGATAATGGAGGACTACAAAAGGCTGTAACAGGCAAGTGATTATAATGAGATTTATGGTTTATTTCATAATTTCTTTTAGATGTGGTATAGGCAAACATGGTACTTGCCTCCTTCTACAATCACACAAAATTACAACTAACCTACAGAACAACCACCATTCAGAACCACCTAAAACTGAGCTGAATGAAAGACTAACAACTAGAAAACTAAAGAAAAAGCCACATGAGACTGGTAGGAAGGTGGAGATGTGGAACAGACTGGTCTCACACCCAAGTGTGGCAGATAAAAATCGGGAGGTATATCTTGGTTGCAGAGGTCTCTCCTGAGGAGCACAGGATTTCAGGCCCAAACTAGCTCCTCCCAGCCCTGAAACCCTCCTCCAAGGGTTTCAGTGCTGGGAAAAAAAAAAGTCCCCATAACTTCTGGCTGTAAAAATCAGCAGGGAATGAGGCTGCATGAGATGGAAGCTACTGGATCCCAGGCAGTTCCTCTTAAAGGGCCCATGAGCAGACTAATTTGGACTCACTCCCTCTGAGCTCCAGTGTGTAGACAGCAGCTTGAAAGGAACCAGAGACACAGGGGGAGAAAATGAATTGTCTGGCATCAGGGCAAGAGCTAGGAGGCAGCCTTCTCCTAGAGAGAAGTGCTGGCAGCAGCCACTGTTCCTTTTCTGAGACCTCTCCTCAGAGAGCTGGCAGGTGGGTGCCATACCTGAGACTCCATCAATCTGGCTCACATTGTTTGCCCTACCCTGGTGGTTCCCTGAGACCCTGTCACATCCAATTTATGGATTTTTTGCCCACCACAGCTGCCTCCAATAGCTTTTCCATGCAAATGGAAAAACCTCCCAAAAGGGCCCCTGAGCCAGCACACCCAGTAGACGGCTTCAGACCACATTGAGGCACCACCTAGCCACCTCCACAAGTGACATACTCAAGGGGTGGACTCTGTAGCAACCAGAGTCCTGCTGAAGTAAGTCCAACTCTGTGGGGTGGGTCCCAGCACATATCACCCTCCACAGCGGTTGAAGGTCAATGGTCAGAGCCAGTCCTTGCAGCTGATCAGCCTCAGGGTAAATGCCTTCCATTGATGTGCCAACAGCAATCAAGGCTCAACTTAAAGAGGATGGTGTACACAGCCCAAATAGGGGGGCACACCTGGAGTGCACAGCTTGAGTGAGTGAGGAGGCTCTGTCGCTGGACTCTACAGGATACCTTCTGTATTAGGCCACACTACCAAATCCAGGAAGTGTAGCAACTCTACCTGATACATAGAAACAAACACAGGGAGGCTGCCAAAATGAGGAGACAAAGAAGCATGTCTTAAATGAAAGAATAGAACAAAGCTCAGAAAAAGAACTAATCAAAATGGAGATAAGCAATCTAACAGATGCAGAGGTCAAAACACTAGTTATAAGGATACTCAAGGAACTTAGTGAGGACCTCAATGGCATAAAAGAGATCCAGCCAGAAATGAAGAATACACTAATTGAAATAAAGAACAATTTATAGGGAAACAACAGTAGAGTGGATGAAGCTGAGAATCAAATCAATGATTTGGAACATAAGGAAGCAAAAACAACCAATCAGAACAGAAAAAAAAAATGAGGATAGTGTAAGGAGCCTCTGGGACAACTTCAAGTATTCTAAAATCCACATCATGGTGATGCCTGAAGAAGAGAGAGAGCAAGAAATTGGAAATCTATTTGAAAAAATAATGACAGAAAACTTCCTTAACCTGGTGAAGGAAACAGACATACAAGTCCAGGAAGTGTAGAGTCCCAAATGACATGAACCCAAAGAGGCCCACATCAAGACACATCATAATTAAAATGTAAAAGTTAGAGATAAAGAGAGAATTTTAAAAGCACAAAGAGAAAAAACAGGTAGTTACTTACAAGGGAGCTCCTATAAGACTCAGCTGATTTCTGAACATAAACATTGCAGGCCAGAAGGGATTGGCAAGAAGTATTCGAAGTGATGAAAAGCAAGGACCTACAGCCAAGATTACTCTACCCAGCAAAGCCATCATTTAGAATCAAAGGACAGATAAAGAGCTTCTCAGACAAGAAAAAGCTAAAGGATTTCATCACCACCAAACCAGTATTATATGAAATGTTAAAGGGACTTATTGAAGGAAAAAAACAGATCAAATATATAAATAATAAAATGGAAATGAATATGTATCTTTCAATAATTGAATATAGAAAAAAACAAAATAGATGAACAAGCAAAACAAACTCACAGATATAGAGAAAATTTTGATGGTTGTCAGATGGAATGGGGCTTGGGGGATTGGTGAAAAAGGTGAAGGGATTAAGAAGTACAAATGGATTGCTGCAGAATAGTCATGGGGATGTAAAGTACAGCATGGGGATGTATGGTGTCAATGAATGTGAGATTTTATGAGGATGATCACTTAGTAGGTTATGTAATGTCTAATCACCAGGGTGTACACCTGAAACTAACATAATAATGTATGTCAACTGCAATTCAAAATAAAACTTTAAAAATTATAGAAATAACTGCAGAAAATTAGAAAACAGATAAGCAAAATATAAAATAAACATGAGAAATAAGGATTATTCTTTAAAAAGCTTTTATTTATTTATTCTTAGAGAGAAGGGAAAGGAGGAAGAGTGAGAAAAATATCGATCAGCTGCCTCTTGCACATGCGTCAAAGGGGACTGGCCTGCAACCCAGGCATGTGCCCTACCTGTGACCTTATACTCTGTGGGATGACACCCAACTGACCCACACCTGTCAGGGCCAGAAATAAGCATTTCCACTTTTATCTATATATATCCAGATTTTTCTATTCAATTTTAATTATAATGGGATGATATTATAATTATTTAAAAAATATTTTATATACTCTTTATTATACTTTTTTTTTAGATTTTATTTATTTATTTTTAGAGAGGGAAGGGAGGGAGAAAGAGAGAGAGAAACATCAATGTGCGGTTGCTGGGGGCCGTGGCCTGCAACCCAGGCATGTGCCCTGACTGGGAATCGAACCTGTGATGCTTTGGTTCACAGACCACGCTCAATCCACTGAGCTACGCCAGCCAGGGGTATTTTTTTATAACTGGGTTTTCCCACTTCACACAATGTAAATATTTTTCCATGTCATTAAATGTACTTCTATAACACTAAAAATGTTTACATGTTACTCCACTGGCTGTGTACTGCCCACTGAGTCAATCAATCAGTCCTCTATTGTCAGATATTAGATTATTTCCAATTTTTGTCATCTGTGCATTATTTACAACCATGCTCTAAGAAACCCCTTAGGTATATGCATATTTTTAAGTAGTTATAGCCGAGGTTAAATTCCTAGGTGAAGAATTCCTGGATCAAAAGGTATGAATATATTTTAAAGGCTTTGGTAAGTGCTGCCGAAATATCCTTCAGGAAGGCTGTAAGCATTTAACACTCCTACTAGTAGTATGAGAGTACCTATCTCCATGCAACCTCTTCCAACCAAAAAGTAATAATCTTTATTTTTAAAATCCTTGACCATTTGACAGGCAAAACTGATAATTCAATTATTGTTTAGATTAGTGAACTGTATCTTTTATCATAATCTTGTTAAAATTATATAAGTGTTATATCAGAGAAGAGGAAAGATAATCAAAGGGAACTTCAGGTAGTGACTCACAGTGAGTTGGCCGAGGCTTTCATGAGAGAGACAGGGACATATCCAGATTCAGCAAGATTTCAAGAAAGACAAAATAATGGGTTGAGGCATAGAGGTAGGGAATTAGGAACAGATAATAAAATATATATCATTACTGTAAAACTCAGAAGATGAATATATTTAATAATGTCTATTTTGTAATGAGCATCCTGTGATAAAGTCAAGAATAGATTGACAGAAGGCCAGAGGATGGTTTAAACTGACAATAGAGCAGCTTTATTCTGCTCTGATGAAGGAAGAAAGGAGAGGTGGGAAGAAGATTGGTGATAGATGCAGATTGTGCCCTAGTTATTAGCACCAGGTAATTTGTGTCAAACATACTGCCTTTTTAGCAAAACATAATTTCAAAGCTAATTATAATGTTGCTCAGTAACTGTTGACTAAGAAAGCCTATGAACTGATGTCTAATGGTTTTGGTACTACTCTTTGAGTACTACCTTTCAACTCCCAAAATTTAGGATACAGAAAATAAATTCCTCTTTTTGAGATTATTGTACCTCAGCTGAGTACAAAAGCCAAAGGCTTAGGCTTCACATAAGTACTGAGGCCCGAGTCAAGGCCCCAAAGATTTTCATGAAGACTGTCCAAATTATACTTGTGTTGCTGGTACCAATGCAGATGGCTCATTCAGGCCCAGAGTTGAAGCTGGGTTCCAAAAGTCTTAGAGTAGAGGAGGGGTACACTTACCAAGCCACAATGGCTGGCCTTGGGAATTAAAGAGCAGTCTCTCACTTTCCTGCTGACAGGCAGGAGCTACATATATATCGCTGTTAATTATTCGCTGTAGGTGGCTGTCTTGCCAATGCAATTCACGGCCCTCGATGGCTCTAGTAAACACTGTTCGTCTTGGTCTGGGTAAGGAGTCTGGGGAAAGAAAGAAATGCAGCAGTTTAATGATAGGCAATCTGAAACTCTAACTCCTGTCTTCAGGGTGGGACAGTGGGTTAGTGAGAGCAGCCACTCTGCCATCTGTCTGAGTGTGTGTTGTGATTTGTTGTGATACTTGTTTACTGGACAGCTTTTAGTGTGTCTTTGCCCTCTATGGAAAGATCTTTTCTACAGAGATCTATGGCTGTCTTTGTGCTTCTTACAGAAAAGCAGTATCTCCTAGGACCCAGAGCCACATTGAAGAGAGGAGGAACAGTGGTGTTCAGCTGCTCAATTACCAGGATACAAACTGCATTTATAGAAGTCAGAGGAAGAAAGAAGTAGTCAGGTAATTAATCTAGTCAATCCAGAGCCTGTCCCATTTACAGCATGACCCTTATCAGACTGAGGACTTCCATGAAATTCATATTAAAAGCTGAAAAAAAAAAAAAGAAGAGCTGAAGCCCTGTGTATTCTGGTATCTTTACCACACTGATAACTGCAGGCTTACAGCCTTGTTCTGCAATAAGAAAATCTGATGCTGACAAAAGACTAATTAACTTCTTTTCTCATTAGAGTCTTACCATGCCATTTCTCTTCCAGAAAAAAGCTGCAGGGAAATCATAAAACAGACAAGTGAGGCTCAAGTCTTAGGAATAGTGGGCAGAAAGATCAAGTAGAAGATACACCGTCATAAACTGTAGCTATAGGAAGACTCATGGAAATGACATTTAAGGAAATATAAAAAAAGCACAAAAGATTATTTAATTAGCTCCCTGCCAAATTAAGGGCAGCTGAACCTATTTTAGGATAAAGAACTAAAGTACTGTACAGATGTTTCCAGAGATGCCTAAATAAAGTGAGCATCTACTGAGCCTGTGCAAAATAATTGGGAGAGAAAGTCAGAAGATTCAGACTGAATATGAAAGAAATTAACATGTTCATCCACTAAGCAAAAGTCCTTGGATTCTGGTCATCTCTTCAGAATTTGATATATTTCACAGAGTATGGGCTCAGAGACTTAAGAAAGAATAACACTGACAGTATTTACTGAAATTGCTTCTCCTTCATGTTGTCCCTCAGTAGAAGCATAAGGATCCTTCTACAGCCTGCAGTCTAAGCCCCTGTCCTGCTGAAGAGAGAGTCCACTGTGGATCCACTGAGACCACAGTAGGGGTTAGGCTCCCAATATGTTTTAGAATTCATTAAATTAGCAAAAACCGAGTGCCTACCACATAGAATAAACTGTTCTAGGTGCTAAAGATAAAGTCCCTGCCTTTAGGGATCTTTATGTTCAAATGGGAAGAGATGTATAAATGAATATATATCAGATGGTTATAAATACTATAGAAAAGATGAGAGCAGAGTTATGGAGAAAGGCAAGATGGTGTTAGGTGGGGGTAATTGTTTTGTATAGACTGGTCTCAATAAGGTAGCATTTGAACAGAGACCTGAAGGAACTAAAGGCAAGACATGGCTAAGGGAAGAGCATTCCGGGCAAAAGGAACAGCAAGTGCTAAGATCCTGAGGTGGTTAAATATCTGGAGGGTTTGAGGGCAGCAAAGAGGTCAGTGTACTTGGAATGGAATGAGCAAGCAAGGAAATTATAGGAGATCAGGCTAGATAGATACTAGGCAGCCAGATCATGAGGGCATTGCAGGCCATGTGTGAGAAATGACCTTGGCTTTCTGAGTAAGATGAGAAGCCACTGGAGGGCTTTGAACTGTTGAAGATGTATGATGTAACTTGCATTTTAAAAGGCTAACTGAAAGCAGTATTGAGAACAGACTATAAGGCAGAAGGGCAGATGCAGGAGGAGCTATTAGGAGACCACTTCAATAATTTGTGAAATATGATGGTAACTTGGCCAGAGTAATAAACAGTGGGGATGATGACAGTAGAGGGATTCTTGATATATTCTGAAAATAAAGGCAATAGGATTCACTCATGGATTAGATCTGGGGTGAGAGAAAAAGGGAAAAATTAAGTATGGCTCCCAGGTTTTTAAGACACACCTGCCATATTAGAGACAGGAAAGACTGCAGGAAGAGCAGGTTTGGGTGGGAATTGAGGGGTTTAGAAATCCTACTGAATGCCTATATATCTAAGTAGAGAAAATGAAAGGCCAATGAACATAAAGCCTGGAGATGAGAGGAAAACTCTAAGCAGTAGGTATAAATTTGGGAATTGTTAGTATATTGATGATTATTAAAACAATGCAATGATGGTGGATAAAAATTCAGGAGGGAAATCTCAGGAGCGAGGAGTCCAAGCTACACACCAGGGCCTCCAGAGTTCCAGGGCCAGGTAGATTAGTCCCCATAACTACTGGCTGCAAAAGTCAGTGAGAACTGAGTTGGTGGAAGAAACTTCTGAAGTCCCAAGCAGTTCTTCTTAAAGAACCTACACATGGACTTACTCAGACTCACTCCCTCTGAGCTCCAGCAGCAGGAAGCAGAGCAGCCTGAAAGGCACCAGAGGCATACAGGGAGAAACTAAAGAGTCTGGCATCAAGGTGAGAGCTGGTAGGCTGCTTTCTCCCAGACAGAAAGTCAGGCAGAGGCCATTGTTCCTTTTCTGAACCCTCTCTCTACAGAGCCACAAAACCAGCAGGCAGGTGCCATATATGAGACTCATCGATCTGGCTAACACTGTTTGCCCCACCTTGGAGATCCCCTCAGACTCTGACCTACCCAACTTATAGGCCCACCCAAGCTGTTAACAGTGACTTTTCCTTCTGAATGGCTGGTGTTGGCTAATGCATCATATCTTCCTAAATCCTATCAAACAAGCAATAGCCAGACTCAGTGAGCTCCCAGCTCCTGTACTTGTTAAGCAGCCTCAGATCCAGCACTAGCAGTAGCCAGCCTAGATTCACAGCTTGGCTTCTCCTGGGAACATCCAAGCCCAGCACAACTAACAGCCATCTCAGATTGTTTTATAGCTCATGAATGTGTGGCTCTGGGTAAAACACAGGTGGTGGTTGACATTGGCCTGCACCACCCAGTAAACTCAAGAGCCTGCACACTCAGTGGATAGCTACAGGTCACATCTGAGCACCACTACCCTTGCCCCTGCACAGCTGATCCTCCATGGTGGCTGTAGGTTGGTAGTCAGAGGTCATAGCCAGGCCTTGAAGCTGACTGGCCTGGGTAAAGCCCTCCCATTGACCTGTCAACAACAACCAAGGCTCAACTCTAAGGGGAGGGTGTATTCAACCCACATGGAGGGTGTACGCTGAGTACCCAGCTTGGGGGATAGGGGAGGCTTTGCCACTGGACCCTACAGGACACCTACTACATTAGGCCACACTAATGAGACAAGAGGTCTCTATGAGACATATAAGCTCTACCTAATACATAAGAACAAACACAGGGAGGCTGCCAAAATGAGGAGACAAAGAAACATGGCCTAAATTTAAGAATAGATCAAAACTCCAGAAAAAGAACTGAACAAAATGGACATAAGCAATCTATTAGATGCAGGGTGTAAAACACTAGTTATAAGGATGCTTAAAGAACTTGGTGAGTACCTCAACAGCATAAAAAAGATCCATTCGGTAATGAAGGATACACTAACTGAAATAAAGAGCAATTTATAGGGAAACAACAGTAGAGTGGATGAAGCTGAGAGCTGAATCAATGATTTGGAACATAAGGAAGCAAAAAACAACCAATTAGAACAAGAAGAAAAAATAATCCAAAAAATCAAGGAGAATGTAAGCAGCCTCTGGGACAACTTCAAGCATTCCAACATTTGCATCATAGGGATGCCAGAAGGAAAAGAGAAAGGGTAAGAAATTGGATATCTATTTGAACAAATAATGAAGTAAAACTTCCCTAAATTGGTGAATAGACATGCAAGTCCAGGAAGCACAGAGAATCCCAATCAAGTTGGATCCAGAGAGGACCACACCAAGACACATCATAATTAAAATGCCAAGTGTTAAAGATAAAGAGAGAGTCTTAAAAGTAGCAAGAAAAAAGCAGTTAGCTACTTACAGGGGAATTCCTCTAAGACTGTCAGCTGATTTCTCAAAAGAAACTTTGCAGGCTAGAAGGGACTGGCAAGAAATATTCAAAGTGATGAAAAGCAGGGCCTTACAGCCAATATTGTTCTACAAAGAAACATGTTTCAGCAAAGATATCATTAGAATTGAAGGGCAGATAGAGAACTTCCCAGATAAGAAAAAAACTAAAGGAATTCATCATCACCAAACCATTACTGCAGACATGTTAAAGGAACTTATTTAAGATAAAGGAGAATATCCAAATTATGAACAATAAAATGGCAAAAAAATTACATACCAACAATTGAATCTAAAAAACAAACTAAGCACACAAGAAGAACAGAGGCAGAAACATGGATATGGAGAGGGTTTTGATGTTTGCCACATGGTAGGGGCGTGTGGGGGGATGGGTGAGAGGTGAGGGGATTAAGAATTACAAATTGGTAGTTACAGAATAGCCATAGGGATGTAAAGTACACTATAGGAAATGGAGTACCAAAGAACTTATTTGCATGACCAATAAACATGAACAAAGGTGTGGGTATTACGTGAGGGAGTTGGGGGTGTTGAATGGAGGGGGGGGAAGGGGGAAAAATGGGATAGCTATAATAGCTTAATCAATAAAATATAATTAAAAAATAAAACAAGGCAATGAAATAAGTACAGAAGGAAAAGAAGAATGGTTTGATGACTGAGCCCTGAGCACTCTAGCATATTAGGCGGGTGGGAGGAGACAGTAAAAAAGACTGAGGAGGAGGAGCCAATGAAGTAAGAGAGTAGTGTCTTGTAAATAAGATGAAAAAGGTGTTTTCAGGAATTAGAGATCAATTGTGACAAATACTGCTTATTGGTCAAGTAAAATTATGACTGAGAATCATCCAGCAGGTTTAGCAATGGTTGTTAACGTTAGTGACCAGTACAAGAGCTGTTTTAGTAGTGGGGGGATAGTAGCCTGACTAGAGTTAGTTCAAGAGAGATTAAGAACAGAAGAGATAGAGATGGTAAATACATACTATTTTAAAAATAATTTTTCTTAATTCTACCACTATTTCTACTACCTCAGAAAAACAGGTAGGTAGCCAGAGAGGCATGTGGGGCCACAAGTATTTTTTGTTTTATTTTGGGAGGAGAGATAAAACAATGTGCTTGTATGCTCACAGGAATAATCCACAAAAATGTATAATGCAGGAGAGAGAGGAAAGAATTATGGAATGATATCTTGGATAAAAAGGAATAGGATCATTAAAAATAGTGGAAGAAGCACAGTAGATTGGCATAGACTGAGGCATATGTGGTGATATAATTATGGAAATTCTGTTCTGATTGCTTCTATATTCTCAGCGAATAAGAAGCTAAACTATCAGGGAGGAAAGAGAGGAATATAAAAAGTTTTAGTGAAAAGATGGTAGAAAATAGAAATTTAGAAGAGTGAAACAAGGCATAGACTAGGGAAATGCACTGGATGTCCAGTCTACACAGTACTACATATACTTTTAAGATTAGTGGTCCTAAGCTTAATTTTAAGATCAGTTATCATGGTTGTATTTCTCTCTACCATGTTTAGCTTTGCAGGTGTGATCACCGAGTAATCAGACAGTTAGACTGAACTACTAACATTAGGAATGTAACAGAGGGAAAGGGGGAACTAAGTATGTATGCAAGGGAATAATTATAATGATGCACCAAGGAATCTAACCTGGATAGGGAGGAAAACGAAGCTGCAAGAGAATGAGAAAATAATAGGATCAAAATTCCTAGTGGGTCAAAGAATTACCAGAAAGGGAAACTAAAGCAAAAAAGCTAGTGAAGACTGGCAGTAGGAATTAGAGTTGCTTTAAATTGAGATTATGAAGAAAGAGAAAGTTATTGGCAATAGCAAGGTCTAGGGTATGATTTTGGGACTGTATAGCTAATCACATTGGAAGATGAATCTATTAAAAGAGAGGAAGTCAAAGAACTGAGAGGCTAGAATACTGGAGGTACCGTCTATGTGGCTACTGAAATCATTAAGAATTGTAATAGAAGTAATGATAGAGAGTAGTGTTGTGAGCCAACAGCCAAAAATCTCAGGGAACAAGGAACTGACCCACGGGTCTACAAATGACCTAAACCAGAATGTTAGCAGACAGTATATTTTGATGATATACACTTTAAAGCCGGGGCCTACTTAGGAAGGAGGGGAGTACACTAATGTAGAAATGGCAATGAAGAATAAGCAGGATGCCTATTGTTCCATCAGGTCCAATGATAAAGAGATGTGACAGATAAATCACCCACAGCTTGAAAAGACTGCAGAGGAAGCAACATACTCAAATGAGAACCAGTAACAGTAACACCAATACACTATGACAAAGAAGAAGATGCCAGACTGGAGGCGTGTGTTTATATGCATTTCACTTTCTCTAGGCCAACCCAAAGCCAATAGTAAAAAGATGGCTCCCTGTGTTGTGGAGGTTAGGTGAGTGCCAGTAAAGGGTAGTTTAAAGAAATGGCAAAATTGCAGCCTTTTCACCTCTCGTTACCTTATTTGCCTTAAATACACTGACAGTCAATTATGGTACAGGTGATGAAGACCAAGCAAGAACAGTAATTCAAGTAATTTTATTTTTGAGGCTAAAAATACCAGATTTATCACCTAAAATAAAGGGGACCACATGAAATATTAATATCTGATCAAACCACATGTAATATTAATATCTGATCAAAATCTCCTAAAATAAAGGTTCCCAATAGGCCAAAGAGCACTCAATTGCCAACATCAAATAGCCAGAGCTGGATGAATTAAAACCGATGTAAATGCTGATGCCCAGCGATATCAGTAGGCTACTGGGCTCAAAATGCAGAGTACAGTATCACTGTACTGGATTTGTCTTAAAATGAGGCAAGAGTCCTAATAGTAACTTGGGAGCATGACTCTTCCTTGCTATCTGCTGTATAAACATTTGAGGAAAACAGAGAGACATAAGAAAGGCAACTGTCAGGACATTTTTAAAAGTTGTTTTCTGCAGGCCTTCCATCCTTCTGCTGAGATAGGTCTTCTGAGCTAAAATCAGCCCCAGCGAAGCCAAGATTCATTAGTCATGAAGAACTTGAAGGGTATATAAAATTCATGCAGAGGCCTCTAAGAATTTATGCTGGGTACTAAAAGGACATTTTAGATGTGGAAAAGGACAGCATCCCAATGTCAATGATAAAAGCTTACCCTTATTTAAAGTTTTGCATTTCAAGACAAAAAGGACTGACTTTCTTATTTAGGATGACAATTCTAATAGCCAAAAGTTTGTCCAGCTACCTTGCTCCAGGGCTTTTCCCTCAACCTTGTGGAATTACAGGCATGAAGACCCTAAAAAGGTATCTGCTCACCTGGGCTGTGATTGGCATTCTGGGAAAGTGCGTTGGTGATGTTGGGCAGCTCATGCCCATAATTCCCATCCTCCAGGGGACAGACATCCAAGTTGCTCCACTTCTGCAGTTGCTGCAGCCAAGAGGATTTTTCCTCCAGTTTGCAATGTGGATTTAAAATGATGCACACCCATAAGGCCCCTGGAAAATAAAACAACCCACATTCTTCATATCTGTTTTTTGATGTATATGTAAGCCTCACTCTTGTTCAGTGTGCTCTCTCATTTTTAGCTGGTAGGAAAAGTTCCGAAAACATCACCATTTCTCAATATACAATAAAAAATGAGATCTGCTAAGTTTTGAGAACTGGCATATTTTTCCTTCCCAAAGCTTCCTTAAAGCAGAATGACTATGATGATATCTGGATGTGTGCCTGTGATAATGAACAAGACATCTGGGCTTCAATTCTTAGATTGAACCTGTAGTCCGACAAACATTTAGTGAGAGCTTTCCATGTTCAAGGCCCTGTACTGGAGAATAAGACACTATTCCTACTCTTGAGCAGCTATCTAGTGGGGCAGATAGTTAAATAAACAGACACCATTTGAATATGGTAAGTGTCAAGATAGAGATATATTCAGGGAACAAGAGAAGCACAGAGGAAGGGCATTTAGCACAAGGGCAGGAGTCAGCAGGGAGGTGCTCAGAAAAGGTTTCAATTTTTGGTTAGTTGACCTTGGACTGGGATTCAAATCCCTCAGCTATAAAACAGATATAAATAAAACACCTACATTGTAGAGATATTGTAAGAATTAAATGAGGTAACATTTGTAAAAGGCCTAGAACATTACTTGGCACATAGTAATATTTTAGTATTTCCTTTTTCTAGGGAAAATGGTTCATATGGACTTGGATTTTGATACTGCTGATAAACTGTGATGCCTTACAACTATCACATTCTTGCATCTTCTCTGTCACTGTAGCAGAGTATCACACACTCCACATAACCAATGGGTACTGTTTCTTTGACCATATCACTCTTCTTTTTAAGCAAACCCACTTCTTCTTTTCAAGGTTGGACATATGTATAGCTAAGCCAGATACGTTCTCAATCTCAAGTTAGCAGTAAGCCTGGCTGTAGAATGGTTTAAGTTGAACATCCTTTGGGATGGAGCTATAGGTATGGATGGAGGTACATTCAGATACTCTTTTAAGGCCCCTCAAAGTCAAATAGGAATGTTCTAAAAGGCCATTTTAGCCTCAATTTCATATACTAACTAAAGATGAATATTCATTTCTATTGGCTCAATTAAAATTTTAAAATCTACCAAGGAAAGGGAACTATAGTATGTAATGTAATAGTATTATGTAATGATGGTTCTCAAGAGGGTTATAGTTAGGAGTCATCCAAATAATTTTAATAAAGTTTGGTAAATGCTACCATAGACATATATAAAACTCTACGAGAATACATATAAAGTAGCACTTAATTTTTTGCATGGGGTCAGGGAAGGTTTGGCCTTAAAAAATAAACATGAGCTATTCTGGTTAAAGATGTCTAACAAAACATATTTAACACAACTCCATCCTGAAACCTCACTAAAATGAAAGTAAAGGGACTTCTGGCCAAGATGGAAGCAAGGGTGGACACACTGTGCTTCCTTGCACAACCAAAATTAAGGACAACAAAAATTTAGAAACAAACAAAAAAAACAACCAGAACAGACAGAAAATTGAACTGTACGGAAGTTCAGACAACCAGTCATCCAGACCAGTAAGGGGCAGAGTCGGCGGCTAGTGGAGAGGGGTCGCGGTGGGAAAAAGCAGTGGCTGGCAGACCTGGGCATGCAGGGCACAGGCGGTGGCTAGCAGACCCTGGTGGCAAACCCCTGGCGCGGGCATGGGGAGGCAATGAGCACACCCAGCGAGACACGCAAGGCAGCTGGCTGTCCGCAGTCACACAATCACGCGCAGATAAACCAGGTGAAAACGGGCAGCAAGACAGACTGAGCAACCCAGGGCCCCAGTGCCAGGAAATAAAGCCTAAAGGCACTGATTGAAAACACTTGTGGAGGTTGAGGTGCCAGGAGACTCCCAGCCTCATAGGAGAATTCGTTGGAGAGACCCACAGGGTCCTAGAATGTACACAAGCCCACCCACCAAGGAACCAGCACCAGAAGGGCCCAATTTGCTTGTGGGAAGCAGCAGAGGGGACTGAAGTCTGACAGAGAGCAAAGCAAGCACCACTGTTCCCTCTCTGACCCCACCCCCAAATATAGCGTCACAATGCAGCGAGGTGGGTTGCCCTGCCCTGGTGAACACCTAAGGCCCCGCCCCTCACTACATAATAGGTGTGACCAGACCCCCTCCCCCGCAAAAAGGCTCAAATGGAAGAACAAATCAAAGCTTCACAGCCAATACTTTTTAAAAAAAGATTTAACTTATTTACTTTTAGAGAGGGAAGGGAGGGAGAAAGAGAGAAACATCAATGTGCAATTGCTGGAGGCCATGGCCTGCAACCCAGGCATCTGCCCTGACTGGGAATCGAATCTGCGATGCTTTGGTTCACAGAACACACTCAATCCACTGAGCTATGCCAGCCAGGGCCAGAGCCAATACTTTTAAATGACCAAGAGAGAGCCAACCTATCAGATGCACAGTTCAAAGCACTGGTGATCAGGATGCTCACAGAATTGGCTGATTTTGGTCGCAAATTAGATGAAAAAATGAAAGCTACACTAAGTGAAATGAAGAAAAATGCACAGGGAACCAATAGTGATGGAAAGAAAACTGGGTCTCAATGGAGTGGACCAGAAGGAAGAAAAAACACATACAATAAGAAAAGAATGAAGAAATAAAAATTCAAAAAAATGAGGAGAGGCTTAGGAACCTCTAGGACATCTTGAAACGTTCCAACATCCAAATTATAGGGGTACCAGAAGGAGAAGAGGAAGAGAAACAAGTGGAAAAGTTATTTGAACAAATAATAAAGGAGAACTTCCCCAATCTGGCAGAGGAAATAGACTTCCAGGAAGTCCAGGGAGCTCAGAGTCCCAAAGAAGTTGGACCCAAGGAGGAACACACCAAGGCACATCATAATTACATTAGCCAAGGAAAAAATGAAGGAGAAAATCCTAGAAGCAGCAAGAAATAAGGGGACAGTTACCTACAAAGGAGTTCCCATCAGACTGTCAGCTGATTTCTCAAAAGAGACCTTACAGGCAAGAAGGGGCTGGAAGGAAGTATTCCAAGTCATGAAAGACAAGGACCTATATCCAAGATTGCTCTATCCAGCAAAGCTTTCATTTAGAATGGGAGGGCAGATAAAGTGCTTCTCAGATAAGGTCAAGTTAAAGGAGTCCATCATCACCAAGCCCTTATTATATGAAATGTTAAAGGGATTTATCTAAGAAAAAGAAGATAAAAAACATGTATAGTAAAATGACAGCAAACTCACAATTATTAACAACCACACCTAAAGCAAAACCAAAAGAAACTAAGCAAACAACTAGAACAGGAACAGAACCACAGAAATGGAGATCACATGGAGGGCTAGCAACAGGGGAGTGGAAGGAAGGGGGGGGAAGGTACAGAGAATAAGTAACATAGACGGTAGGAAAAAATGGACAGGGGGAGAGCAAGAATAGTATGGGAAATGTAGGAGCTAAATAACTTATGACCCATGGACATGAACTACAGGGGAGGAATGTGGGTGGGAGGAGGTATGCAGGGGGGAGGGGAGTGAAGGGGGGGAAATGGTACAACTGTAATAGCATAATCAAGAAAATATATTTAAAAAATGAAAGTAAAGGGATAAAAACAGGCATAAACTTACACAGACACAGAAAATGGAAGAGATGAAAAAGAACAGCATAAATTTTGGAGTCTGCAAATCATGTGGATGAGTGATGGCTGATTTAGCAAAACTGACAAAGCTGAAATTTCCACCAGCTGTTAGGAAAGCCCAGAAGCAGACTGATTCATAGTGTAGAACCCCACTGGAAAAAGGGCTGAAAATACGTAGTAGAATTGGTTAGAAGTCTGTCAGAGGTTCCCCAATTTCCTCTTTTATTCAAGGTAGCTGAGTGCCTGCTCCTTCCCTCTCCTGGAAGAAGACCAGAGCTTTATTTACTGGAAAGGTTGATTCAGAGAGGCTCTGGATTAAAAATGCTACATACAGCTGAAAGTGAGGTTTCCGCAATGAAAACTAAGGGATTAAGGGAAGCTGTATTTATTGAACAAATGGATACCCTCCTTACCCAACCCTCTTCCATCACTTCTTTCTGAGAAGATGTGACAGGCTTATAACACACAGACAAGATAATAGAGAACTTATCTTTAGGAAAGTACCGTAATCAGCCCAACAGCGAAAAACACTGCAGATTCTGGTAGTTGGGGTTCTCCAATGAATAAGCCCAACCAGATCATCTTCAGTTAAGCTGACTAGTTGACAAAGCCACACACACACAGCCTCATTTTTACTTTTAAGTGTCTTACTCTTAAATAAGAACATACAGCTAAAGAAAATTGGATATATGAGGAAAGAATCTTACATAAAGGACAGAGAATGAAGCAAGTAAAATGAAGAAAACACTTGGAGGAAACACAAACAAGGCAGAGAACAGTGAAAACGCGAAGAAGAAAAACAACTATAACTGATAGTCTCAAAGTGGGAAGATACTGCATCTGTGAAACAAGCACAGGATGCAACAACAACAAAAGGGCTCTTAGAAACTAAAAATACAATGATAAAAATAGATTAAAATTTATAAGGTAGTTTAAAAGATAAAATTGAGAAAATGTCCCAGAAGATAAAATAAGTAAATAAATAAATACAGAAATAAAGACAGAAAAAAAATAATACAACTAGAGGATCAATATCTATTCAATATGTTCAGCCGCATCAAATCATCTATCAATTTTATTATCTTCTCAGAGACATCCCTTCTGAAACCCTCTGTTATCTTATCCCTGATGTAGAATGTTTGTCCTCTAATCCTGCTGTAACCCACAAGCTAATATCCGAACATCAAGAGTAGTTCCAGATACAGAGAAAATAAGGGTAAGAAAATTTTTTAAGAAAAGTTTTCAAACTAAAAGACATCGTCTCTCATTTTAGAAGGCTATTGACTATTTTTTATTTTTAAATGTATTTTATTGATTATGCTATTACAGTTGTCCCATTTCCCCCCTTCTCTCCC